TAAAAAAAAGTCTCTTATTTTTATGTACTCTCCTTTCTATAAAATTTTCTTACTTACCATTTAATGATGACCCGAAAAAACATTTCTATTTTCTTTTTCAGAAAGTTTTGTGTGATTAACATTTATTTAACCAACCATAACTATGTATTTTCATTTTATTTCCAAATTTTTATGCTCCGATCGATCGAAAGCAAATTGGGAAGAATTTTATGAGAGGGGGGAGTATTTCCCTAACATTTTTGAGTATCCAAATACTTCTACATAAACATCTCACTTTCATTTTGGATTCAACCCTTAAAAGTCTTAATTTCTTATTTGATAAATAAAATAGTGTCAAACATTGCTTTATTAAATTGTGTGTAAAACAAAGTGCACTTTTAAATTTGGGAAGCAGGTTCTACTTAGGCCTTGCCGACATTCGTAGGCTGTTGGGCCTGTGTCTACCAGACCCATAATCCTGTAAAATTTTCCAGATCGACGTCGTCTTCCTCCAAAGCTCACTGATCTACATTTCCCAGACAGAAATTCCCTCTCCCAATTCTTTACAGATCTGAGTTTTTCAAATTGATAAGCTCGCAAGATTTTATAAATCAATGCATATACATGCATACTGATACTGAGAAGATATTGAGAAAAAAACACAATGTCCTCAATCTTACACCAGAGGGCAATCCAGAACTCTCTTAGGAACCAATACGGTATATCTCTTCGGTCATCGCAGGATTACCAAAAACACACAGCTTTCCTTTTCAACAGAGCATCTCTAATAATCCTCCTCCTCGTTCTGGTGGTCCTCGGAGTTCTCTTCCCATGGGCTCAAATTCCGGGTATCTGGGGTTTCCAGACCCGAAATAGTTCCAGGATCTCTCAATCCAAGTGGCGAGAGTACACGTTGGCACAGGCGGCGTCCAGCGTGTCGAAAAATGGAACTTTGATAGTCTGCGCTGTGAGTGAGCCTTACTTGCCCTTCTTGAGCAATTGGCTGATCAGCATTGCCAGGCAGAAGCAGCATGAGAAAGTTTTGGTGATTGCTGAGGACTATGCGACTTTGTATAAGGTTAATGAAAGGTGGCCTGGCCATGCTGTGTTGGTCCCTCCTGCTGGGGAGTCTCAAAGTGCTCACAAGTTTGGTTCTCAGGTACTCTTTCCCTTCGGAAAATGCTCAATTTTTTCAAGTACTTACCGATCTGGATGGTGCTTACATTTGAAATCTACTTATTTAGTTGAGTATTTGTTTTGTTAAAGGTTTCTATCATGATTATGTATGATGCTTCTATTATAGTTGCTGGAATTGTAATTTTTGCTTTCTGTTTACTAATTTAGGATTTTAGGGTAATGCAAATTGCAAAGCTAAATGTGTTTCCTAACTGGCCATAATGGGTGATTAGTGATTGTAGATGTGTTGATGCTTTGTTTGCATTATTGCTCTTTATGACGGATGAAATGATGTGCCTATTTTCAAAATTTAATTAATTCCAGCTTGAAGTAAGGATTTTGCTTTGGTTATACAGGGATTCTTTAATTTTACATCTCGAAGGCCTCGCCATCTTCTGCAAATTTTGGAGCTGGGTTATAATGTCATGTATAATGATGTAGATATGGTATGGCTAGCAGATCCATTTCCTTACTTGCAGGGGAAGCATGATGTGTACTTCACAGATGACATGGCTGCAGTATGTATACTTCCTTCTGCAGTGCCTAATTATTTTTCCAAGTAGATCTATAAGGAAATTTCACATGCAAACTCAGGCTTCATTTGGTAATTGGTAGCCATAATAGTGTCATTATGCTTTAGAATGACAAGCTTTTGACTTGCTTATTTGACTGAAATTGGTTTTGAGCAAACACTTTTGCTATAAGAAAATCCGGCCATTTCAGCTGAATAACCCTTACCAAGCAGTCGTTTTAAATATCAAAGTTGTAGGGTTTAGTGGAAAGACCACGAGTTAGATTCAACACTGAAATAATATTAGGATTGTCTATATGCCGCTTTAATTTTGCTGCTGGTGGTGGAAGGAGGCTATAAAAGTAGGTCGATAAAGTTGCTTTCTATTTATGTTTTCTTTTATGACTGCTTACTCATTTGCTATTTCCCTTTTTTCTTGAACGATTACTAGGTGAAACCTCTAAATCACTCTCACGATCTGCCACCGCCAGGGAAAAAAGGCCGGACTTACATATGTAGCTGCATGATTTATATGCGTCCCACAAAAGGAGCAAAGTTAGTTATGAAGAAGTGGATTGAAGAACTACAAGCTCTACCATGGTCCAAAGCTAAGAAATCTAATGACCAGCCTGCTTTTAACTGGGCTCTAAATAAAACTGCAGGACAGGTGCATACTTTTCTAATTTCCCATTAAGCTGTTATCTTCAGTTTAGTTTAAAAATCGCTGCAACCATATGATTCTTTATGTTAATAATACCAATGCAAATAAACCTGTGTATTCGTTTCTTGGTTTGAGCTTCAATGCATATCAAATGATTGTAGGTGGACTTGTATCTGCTCCCTCAAGCGGCATTCCCAACTGGTGGTCTATACTTCAAGAACCCAACATGGGTACAAGAGACCAAGGGAATGACTGTTATTATTCACAATAACTACATTACCGGATTTGAGAAGAAGATTAAACGCTTCAGAGAATTTGGTCTGTGGTTAGTGGATGATCATGCGTCTGAGTCCCCTCTTGGCAGATTAGACTAAGCCCCCTTTACTTCAAGATGATAAATTTTGTGACAGAAAAGAAGAAAGCAGGAAGCAACTTGTTTTGAATTTTATAGGCAACATATAGTGTATTTCTATCATCTCAAAATATAGTTTTGACATGGTTTCTAATAATTTAGTTTTCTTTTTGTATCACATAGTTTTTTCAAAAAAGATCCATGTAAATGTACAACTTTCTTGATTGAATATTTTTACAGGTTCTGAGATTAATGCTTACAGGTTCTGAGATCCATGTAGGAGTAAAAGTGTTTTGAAATTTCAAAATAGTATTGTCATATTTTTATTCCTGAAGTACGATTAATTATCACCATGTTTGAACAGTGCCAGATGTTAAACGTCACAATATTTATCAAACCTCATAGTAATTACTCTTATTTAGAGAATAAAAATATGACATCCCTATTTCGGAATACCAAAATGATTTTATTTCTATTTCAGAATTTTTCTCTTATGAAATTATTTATGAACCGGTTGAGTTTCCCCAATCAATTGTATTAAATTGAAATTGACATTCTTGATTATGTGTAAGTATGTACAATACCAACTAATTTGTGTATTATATTCAAGTATGTACAAATATAGTAGACCTACAAAAAATCCACATGTATATAAAGTGAATTTAATTACCATCATAGTTCTGGCAACTTATGCTCACAATCTAGGTTCTCAAACAAGAAGCTTGAGGCGAGATCAAGCGATCAACCTTCTTTCATTACTCAACTGGTCAAGCAAATGTGGCAGTGTGGCTAGAGAAACTTGCTTAGTAACTTGAACACAAATTCATTGGAATCACTTCCACTTCTCACTTAAATTCGTACTCACTTAAATTCAACACAAATTCATTAGAATCACTTTCACTTCTCACTTAAATTCATACTCACTTAAATTGGACACAAATTCATTGGAATCACTTCCACTTCTCATTTAAATTCGTACTGAAATCTTATCTAACCCACTAGATTCATTCAAATTTCTCTAAATATATTGCATTCAAATTATGTATATAAAGAACTTATTTCATTGGTCTAGATTGATGGGGAGGGTGGAGGTTGGGACTGACCTAGGAAATTCATCTTGGGGGTTCAAAATATTTTTTGGGGGGCAAAAAATATATTGTGAGGGAATTAATTTTCGTATATATATACACTAAAAAAATTGTTGGGGGGGGGGGGGGGGTAGCACCCCTGGGTCTCTACTACGGTCCGCCCCTGGGCGGAGGGCCCTATGGTTAAACTCGTTTGAGTTTTTTTTGTGTGTGAAATTTTTTGATAGAATTTTCTGAGCATTCTCTTTATCAAGTGTAGATTATGTTCACGTAATGTTAGCTTAAAATTCAATTTGAAAGTCAATTTTAGCTTAAAACTCAATCTAAAAATTATTTTCATGTTTTTTAAAACTCAAGTTTTTAAATACTCATATTTTAGCTTAATATTAGTCACATTTTATCTATCTATATATTAAAGTAGTCACTTTTTTAGTTAGTCACTAAGTTAGTCATATTTTACGTAAATCCTTTTTCGGATTTTTTTTCACATTTTATATTTGAAAACTTTTATCCTAAGTTTTTTGGATTTAAAGTGTCAAACCAATATATGAATTTCACGAATTCGACTGTTGTGATTCAAAAATGCCTCAAATACTCTAATTATCATTTGCAAATTGCAACACCCCATGAAAAACAAATGTGTTTGTCAAGAAAATTGATTAGCATTTTGCATAGAAAATATTTTGATAAACTTACGTATGTGTTCAATCTAATTGTTACTTTCAAACATGTGATTATTTTTTTGGCAAATTTCAAGCATGTGATTTAGAAAATTGTAAATCGATAAATTTAGGGAAAACTGTCAAATAGGTCCTCGAACTTTCATAAAAAAGTCAATTAAGTCCTTCTATAGGAGACCTTGTCCGGTCGTCGCGATTTGGGGCGGTTCCCGGTGGAATTTCTTGATGAAATTTTTTGAGCATCTTATTCATCAAGTAGAGTTTACTCATACCAAATTTCAGCTAAAAATTTAATCGGGAGCGCATTCAAATTAATCCGAGAACACAAAAATGCGCAGTTATCTTCAAGAATTAATTTGAATGTGTTCCCGATTGAATTTTTAGCTAAAATTTGGTATGAGTAAACTAGACTTGGTGAATAAGATGATCAAAAAATTTCATCAAAAAATTCCACCGGGAACTGCCCCAAATCGCGACGGCCGGACAGAACGTCCTATAGAAGAACTTAATTGACCTTTTTATGAAAGTTCGAGGACCTATTTGACAGTTACTTTTCAATTCTAATTGTTACTTCTCACTACTTTTCTTAATCTGAAGTACAAAAAAGTCATATCAAAGTTATATGGAGAATATGAGAAAAAGATGGTAGATTAACTCAAACATGGGATAAAATCTTGTGTAACAATGTTCTCACAACTGAAAAAGTTAAAAAATAAAAGTGATAAAATTATTCAATCATACAAGCTGAGAACATTACGAAAAGAGTACATAAAATTTTGATTGATCAAACAGCAGACTTTATACTTGAGCTATAGCCGTTGTCATTGAATTTAGACCAGAGCATCACTCCTCCGTATTTAGCCGAACCTTTGATGGCCGGAAGGATCTGAGAAGTAACCACATCGGCCGGGATGAAACCGCTCCCGGCAGCCGCCTGAGCGGCCGGCAATCCAAGAAAGACTTTCCCGGCGGGAATATTTGCCCAATTATTGTTCCAAGAGTTGAGGAGATTGGAGGCGTCCCCCGAAGAATACTGACAGGGAGGGTTGTTGTAGAACTGAACCCAAACGGAGTCGAAAACGCCGGTGTTTATGGCCGATTGCAGCATTTGATCGGGGAATGGACATTGAGGCGCCGCCGATAAGTACACGTTCTGTCCGAACGTCTTTAAGGCCGTCGCAAGTTCACCGTAGAACTGACTTCCGCCTGATTCTATATCGAAGTCAACTCCGTCAAGAGGTTCGTCTCCTAGCGGCCTTGACCCTGACTGTCCGCCAAGGTAGCTGTCCCACAAATATTGAGCCACACTCCTATGCATAGATTCATCTCCAAAAACTTTAGGCCAATGAAGAATGTATGTATCTCGAATTCGGGATTTTTTGTGTACAAGCCATTGTAATTTTAGTTTGGCGTTGGGTTAATACAGATATGATTCCGAATTTGAGTGTCAATAAAATTGGGCAAATGCTATGAAAGCTCAAGAGAAAAGCCACTGAGTGTTTAGATTAATCTCGTATTTGTGTGATAGAAAAAGCAAAAAACATTTTTCAGCTTTTAGTTTTTAAATGTTTAATTTAAACACAAGCGGTCACTTGAAAACACTCATTTCAATTTTGTTCAAGTCAAAAGTTGAAAATCACTTTTTCATACTCCGTTTGGCCCGTTTCAGAAGTATTTGTTAGTAAACATAACAGTTCCAAAATAATTTGTTTTAAAAAAAACTTCTCTCCTCACAATTTTATGTCACACAATTCTTATTTTCTAAGAGTCTGTTTAATTAGTAACACATGAATTGAGTGAACCAGTTAATTCTGTCGAAATTTATAAAGTCTTGGCTGAAATTGTTGAAATGATCCTCTATAATAACGTAGCCTTACTTTTGTTATTATTACCTAAGTCAACACGCAAAATAAAAGGTAATGTATTTATGAAAAACAGGGTCGTCGAGCTCTTAATCTCCGAACCGTCTTTAAGAGGTTATTTGTTATTACCTACGGATGTTTTCTTTTGGACTGAAATTTGCTGGTTTGGTCTGGTCTGGTCTGTTTAAGTCTGGTCTGGTCTGGTCTGGTCTGTTTAAGTCTGGTCTGATCTGGTCTGGTCTGGTCTGTTTAAATCTGGTCTGGTCTGGTCTGATAAACGTCTGGTCTCTGTGTATTTTATAACTACGGAAGTCTGGTCTGGTCTGGTCTGGTCTGTTTAAGTCTGGTCTGGTCTGGTCTGTTTAAGTCTGGTCTAGTCTGGTCTATTCTGTTTAAGTCTGGTCTGGTTGGGACTGAAAACCGTCCAAAAGAAAACACGTAGTACTCCGTATTATGATTATTTCCTCTTCTACTTAAATTCAACCACACGATTATACTACATCAACATTATTTACTGGATGGATGGAGCAAAACTTACTTGGCATCATCAGCCGAAGAAAGGGAATAGGTGCCAACCCCACCTCCCAGGGAGAGCAGAACTTTGATGCCCTGACTCTTGCAGGCTTTGATGTCGGCGCTCAGGCCGGTGCACCCATTGCTGCCAGGATCACAGTGGCCGGCGAGGTTCAGGACCGGAGTCCGACCACTTCCGAACACGGTCAAGAAAGCGACGTTGACGATGTTGTAGTTGCCGGAGGCGCAGGTATCTCCCAGGCTGCCCTCGTTCCCATTTTGTCCCCAGTATATCGCTATTTCTCCCCCCAAACAGACCTTCATCACTGAAAGGATCAAAAGGATTGAGAAGGGGACTGTTTTCTTATTATGTTTCATCTTACTTGGTAATTAGTATATACGAAGTATATGGCCTCAGATCTCTTTCTTAATTTGGAGTAAATACGTGAGGGGTAAGGAAAGTATGGCTTCTGCGGGCTATTATATACGGAGTAGAAGCTCAATAATGGGATGGGTGATCCGTGTTAGGCTCCACGTTTTAGTAAGAAAAGTTCCACGCTTTGGGCATCAGTGCATCACTTGCTGTTGTTTTTCCAGGAAAATTCAAAATTAGTGTAATTTCTGTATGTATGTCTCCAAATATAGTTTTGGTTTGACTTTGACTATCTGCGGTTTGAAAGTGAAGAATTTTACCAATGGTCAACCGATTTGATCAGTGGATTGAGTTAATATTTCATCCGTTCTTAAATAAATGCAACGGTCAACATTTCACACTTGTCGAAACACAACTTTGACCATTAATATATACTCCATCGTCCCTTTTTTAATGTCCCGTTTTACCATATTGGGATGTCCCTATTTAATTGTCACATACCTTATTTGGTAAAGTTTGTGTGGCTCAAAATCATTCTTACTTTATTCTTATTTTATCAATTAATATCAACCACACAAACCCACTTTTCTTAAAATTCGTGTCACTCTCTTCCGTCCCAATAGAAAGGGGACGGAGGTAGTATGATTTTGTATTAGTAAAAAATTAAAAAAAAAAATAGATTATTAAAATTTACAATGAGACAAGTTTAACAATAATTTTTTCATAAAAAAAATTTATTATATTAATAAATAAAACGTAGTCAAAGTAGAACATGTGAATAGTGTAAAAGTTAAAGTGTTGCATTTATTTAAGAACAGAGGTAGTATGTAATGTCATGTTTCAAATGAAAAATGACATGTATATATTAAGGGCTTGTTTGGTAACGGCTTTAACGGCTGAATATATTTAAATGACTGAATTTGTTGAAGTGAAAATGTTTGGTAATATGTTTGCTGAAATGGCTGATTGAATGTAAAATTACCGTAAAGAGTATTATTGTTTGGGTTAAATAAATGGGGTGAGTTTTGCTAATAAATTATTTTGGCTAAAGGGTCAAATAGGTACATGAACTAACTTAAAGTATTCAATTAGCCTCTTATATAGGAGGTTCTGCCGGGCCGTCGCCAATTGAGGCGGTTTTTGGTGGAATTTTTTGATGAAATTTTTTGAACATCTTCTTCATTAAGTCTAGTTTACCCATATCAAATTTCAGCTAAAAATTAAATCGGGAAGACAGTCAAATGATTTTCCGAAATGTACTGCGCTATTTAACCACACAGTTATCTTCAACAAATCATTTGACTGCCTTCCCGGTTGAATTTTTAGCTGAAATTTGGTATGGGTAAACTAGACTTAATGATAAAGATTCTCAAAAAAATGCATCAAAAAATTCCATCGGGAACCGCCCCAATTGGCGACGACCGGGCAGAACATTCTATAGAAGAGACTAATTGAACACTTTAAATTAGTTCATGTACCTATTTGACCCTTTAGCCAATTATTTTTGTTTGGTTAGAACTCTTAAGAACAGACTCGGTAAATCTACCCTTCTATCATAGAAACACGTCATTATAGATAATCACGAATCTAGGAAAAGGCATTTTGCAAGACTAATTCAGGATTTAGCTATGTTTCGGTTAGTATTTGAGGCACTTCGATTATGACGTTATTATCTTCCCCGTACTAGGCAAACCCACAACTCATCCCTGTCTATTCCCCACATGCCCAACCATTGTGAAATATATACATAGCACTATGAAACAATTTCAGAAGCAATACTTCAAGAAGTGAATGAAGACTTCGATTAGGTTCTAGAAAGAATTGAATAAGGATAATTGAAGAAGAAGATTGAGCAGTCAAGCAAAAGTCTTCAATTTGGATACGAAATTATGAGGCAACGAGCAGATGATTCCGTCGTCCACTTCTATCTTGAGCAGAAGATATGTTCCAAGTATAGTAGTGGGGCAGAGTGGTCTTTGCAATAGCCAAACAGTGAAATAATAAATTTCAGCTCAAAAATAGGCTTAGGCTTGTTTTTTGAGGAATAAGGAAAATCTACCAAATCAGCCTCTTTGATGGGTGTTTGGTGGTTTTTTCTATTTTGAGGCTTATAAAGTATAAACCCATTTTCACTCCTCCAAACGGCCTCTAAAAATATTCCCAGAAATATTACTACTTATGTCAAAGGCACTTGTTATAATTTTGACATTGTTCACATCATAGTCTTCGTATAGCAGTGCCTTTGACATATGTTCCACAAAAGATTTTGATTTATTTATTTTAAAAGCCAAAAGCTTTACACGTAACCATCCATATGGTCCGTTAACATAATGCATTGGACGAATTTTTTGGATTCCATTGTCTATTTATATGAGGTGGATAGACATTCCATTTATTGATTACCATGTGTCAAAAATTATTCCATATTAACAATGTAGCATTAAAGATGCTTTGATCTAGTGGTTTGGCGTAACGGTTGATGTGTAATGTCATATTCCAAAGCATAAAATTCAAAACAGTGTTAAAAATGTTTCAACTTACGAGAACAAAATATAAGTTTTTTCGAAAGAAAAGAAAATACGGAGTATTTATTTGTGGACCGAACAAAAAATAAAACATAAAGTTTATTTGGCAAAGGAAGGAAGTTACTGTTAAACATTGATCGATTGAGAAATTTATGTCCCAACTCTTATTCACTTGGTTAACACAAATCACTCTTAACCTCTTACTTTATCTTTAGTTTAAAAATATGACTATCCTTTAGTTTAACTTTATCTGTCGCATACATACATATGACAAATGTACTTCTAAGATTGAATAATGAGTATTGCCAATAGGGCTGGGATCGCTTCGGTTCTTACTCAAAATGAGTGGAACCATTACAAAAATTCTAAGTAATCAAATTGGTTCGGTTTCTATTTAAATTTAAAAAATCGAGAATCGTTATGGAACCAAACCCTTACTAAATATAATGGTTCGGTTCCTTCCTTTTAACGGTTCCTAGAATATTTTTTTCTCATCTAAGAATTAAGTCAATTAACACATAATTTACTTTCCACAATATAAACACGTCGAAAATTCAAAACATGTGTATTAAAATTTTATTTGATTTCAAGCATCAAAACTCAATCTTAACTAGTGAACCGTGAATGATTAATAGAACAAACGGTGATTTAATTTTTCATGTAATAAATAAAACATAAAAGTTATCATCATAGTAGCAAGTAAAGGACGTCTACTTTAAGTCGTTCGAAACATAAAAAATACATTGAGTTCACATGTAAAGTAAAATATGTGCAATCAACTACAAGTTATTTGGGTTATTTATATTGATAAAATTTATGTGATGGAACAAGACTTGATTTTTATAAATGAGCTTAATGTATTATATCAACTCATGTGCAAAATTATTACTTCTGTTTTCGTTGATTAAATTTGAATTGTTAGTTAAATATGTATTGTATTATTATAGTTGTGGTGGTTATGATTGTTATTATATTATTCTTACTACTACTATTATTACTTTTTTTTAATAAGGCTTCCATTCACATACTTTTTATAGGACCAGGAACTGAACATTTAACAACATTTAGGAATCGAACCGTTAAAAACTAATACCTCATTTATAGGAATTGAACTGAACTGAGTTATAACGGTTCGGTTCCAATCGATTCTACGGGTTTCCGGTTCCAAAATCCCACCCGTAATTACCAGCACATCGTTTACCGCCTAATTCACAAAAATCAATGGGCCAACTAAATAATCACTTCTTCAATAATGTTGTTTGAAGCAATACTCACTTCTTCATTATATAATATGATGACGTTACATAGCGTGGTTCTTAAAGTACGTGGAATAAAATGTACTTTCCAGATTCTTTTTTAATTGCAACGGTCCACATTTAACATTTACCAATATGTTTCAAAAATTTAATTTATAATACAATAATAAATATAATGTCGTCAAATCAGAGTATGTGAATAGTGTGAAATTCACCAATGTTGCAACTAAAAAAGAACAAGGGTATCGTTGGGATTAAGTTCCGTAGATCCAAAACCCCAACACAAACTTTGAGATATTTAGAGATGATTTATGGTAAAAATGACTATGGAATAAGATCCGCTAATCACTCACTCAACAACTTGCTTGTATTAAGGTAATAACAAAGATTAGACAGAAAAGGCCGAACGACACCATGACTCTGTTGCGAATACAATAACTAGAGTGCGAATATATGATCTGAGTATTAAATTGCTAACCCTTTAGAGTGAAATAAATGTCTCTATTTAATTATACTAGGAGGGGTAGGTGAGGTGATGATGTGGCCGAATCCGATTGGTTGCTTCTTGTGCAACTTGTGCACCCATGCCCCGAATTCCTATACTATACACCCGGTAGTATACGTACAACAAGGTTCTTTTGTATTTTTTTCATCTCTAGGTTCATTTCATACGCACTACTTTATTCTCTCGTATCCTTTTGTAAAAAGATCATATGAACTACGCTGCTTCACCCAACTCTCTCATATCCGAAACCCATTATCTGATGGTGCCTCAAAAGGTTGTACGCTTTTTGCCCAAATTATTTTTCGAATCCATTGATATCTAAATTTGTGTTCTTCTGATCTCATATCATTTCCAATTGGTAGCTAATTTGATACTCCCAACTATCATTCTTTATTGTATTTCTTTTATATTTATATATCCTTGAGTCTTCTTAATTGATAAGAGTATTTAAAATTGACTCTTGTGAACTCAAAAAAAAAAATCGATGACTATTTGAATAAAAATAGTCATTTTGATTTAACTGATTTATATATCATCGATCTATTGTTCAGAAAAAATACAAAGTGAGTTTTAGCTTCTTTCTTGGTCAAATATTTGACCGATTGATGCACTTGTATAATACTTACGTACTATGTATGTATGTTGATATACGTATGATTTGTTTTTTCTTGAAAATTCTTGTGACAAGATTCTCTAACTCTTTTCTAATCTTATACTTTGAGTTTACTAAGATTGTTATATATCTCACACAACATAAATATACAGACCATTTAGACAATGAATATAAATACATTAAAATAGTATTTAAATGAGCATTAGTGCACTTTTAATGAGCA